TGCCCGCAGGGCAAGTTCATCCGCATTCACTTTGGTCCCTCTGGGAAGCTGGCATCTGCCGATATTGACAGCTGTGAGTCTGGGAGAGGGTGGGCGAGGGCAGGGCCTGGGGACAGAGGCCTAGGCCTGAGTCTTTCCACTCAGGCTGGGCATCCATCATCAAGTCCTTGGGGCTCCTGCCTGTTCCAGGCACTTCTCTCCATCCTCTGGCCACTGCCCAGCTCAGGCCACCTCACCTCTCACCTGGAACAGTCCACCAGCCTCCACGTGGTCTCCCAGCCTCCATTTCTCTGCTTGATCTTCCAGCCAGGGTGATCTTTTCATGGATACTAATGTGACCACATCACATTCCAGCTTAAAAACCTTTTCTAGATCTCATCACCTTAAGCTGGAGACCCAAATCCTTATTTGTCCAGTCAGGCTCCTCATGATTGGGCCCTTACCCCATCCCAGCTTTTCTCTGGCCCTGACAGGGCAGGCCTCTGCCCTTCCTGCCCCAGCCTCATCTCTAAACTCAAGTCCCCATCCTTCCTGGAAGCTTCTCCTAACACCTCTCTGGGGTTGTTCCCCATCCCGCCTGACCTACCCCTGCTGCACAGACACCAGGTGCCCAGGCTGCATGCACAGAGAGGCCGCTGCTCTGACCACTCCCCACCTTGGGATGCATGGCCAGATACTGATGGATAAGCACAGGCATGTAGTGATGGACAGGGAACATTATAATTCACGCCCTGACTAACCATGTGCAGACACTCGGAAACTTTGCTCCACGCACACACCGTCACACCAGCACTGCTCTGGAGGAAGGGAGTGTGGTCCATGGATGAAGGAATGAAAGCATAGATGAAGGAAAGGACAAATGAAGACCCCTCACACACACACACCCACATACAGAGACACCTGGACAGACAGACAGACACACACACATTCCCGCACTGTGACACGTGCACCAATGGAGAGACACCCTTCAGCACATGCTGGCACGTATGTGGACACAGCGCCTCTACACACACCCCTGCCCCTCGCTGGTACCTTCTCCCTGCCCCCTCAACCCTATTGGGGTGACCCACTCTGGGGAGGTGCAGGGGACGGTAGGCCAGCGCCTCCCTTTCTCCTAGATCTCCTGGAAAAGTCGCGGGTGATCTTCCAGCTGCCCGGTGAGCGCAGCTACCATGTCTACTACCAGATCCTCTCGGGGAAGAAGCCAGAGCTGCAGGGTGAGGGCCAGGGGTGGCTGGGCGGGAGTGGGGCTGCCTGGTGTCTTCTTGGCTCCATCAGACCAGGCCCTGGGATGTCTCTTGCCTCACTGTTCTGGAGTCTGTGACATCCTTCTTTCCTGGGGACTCAGAGCCCCTTCTGTCCCTCTACTCCCTTGGGACTTCTGGTTATTGCCGAGCCTTCTCCTCTCATGCTAGGGAATAGGGCCTTTAGCACCATTGTCCTGGCAAGGTTGTTCCTCCTGCTGTCTTGAGACTAGAGAGGCCCCATCCAGCACCAAAGAAGGAGCAATGACTCTGTCTAGGCCAAGCTCCCCTCTCTTGCAAGCCCTTCAACGGCAGAGTCTGGCCAGAGGGGTGGCCATGAGCAATGGTCGAGGGATAAGTGAGACATAGGGACTGGGGCTCATTCCTCAGGGAACCATAAAGAAAGAGGATCCATGGGCATGAGGGTGGAGGTGAAAAACTCAGGCTACAGAGAAGTCCTAGGAGGGCCCTAGACTCTCCTGCCAGGCTGGTCCCCAGGACACACCATGCAGGGATGGGAGGAGGAGGGTAGCTGGGTAAACACAGCTGGACCTGCCCTTCTCTGCTCCGTGTCCCCCAGACATGCTGCTTCTGTCTATGAACCCCTACGACTACCACTTCTGTAGCCAGGGCGTCATCACCGTGGACAACATGGATGATGGGGAGGAGCTCATGGCCACTGACGTATGTCTGTGGTGGGAGGGGAGCAGAGTGGGGTGCCTGCAGTGTGGGGATGTGTGAAGCTGGATGGAGAGCAGGGAGCAGTTTCAGTGCCCCTTGCTTGGCTGACCCTTGGTGGGGCCCCGATTTCTCTGATCCCGCTGTCCCCCACCGCAGCATGCCATGGACATCCTGGGCTTCAGCGTGGATGAGAAGTGTGCCTGCTATAAGATTGTGGGTGCCCTCCTGCATTTCGGCAACATGAAGTTCAAGCAGAAGCAGCGGGAGGAGCAGGCTGAGGCCGATGGCACTGAGAGTGAGGGGCCCCACCTTGGCCCAACCTGGTCATCATCTTGACCCTGATACCAACGTCCTGTCCATGACTATTAACCTTAACCCTTGTTCACAACCTTTGACCTCAGTCTTACCTGGCCCTGATGTAAGCCTTGGCTTCTCAACTCCAGACCCTTACCCTCCTGAGCCATACAATTTGCAGGCCCTGAACTTGACCTCTCCCAACCTCCCTCTCCTAACCCCAGGCTGAGGCCAGTAGAGCCCCCAAGTGTCTGTATTCTTGACCTCCTCCTTCTTATCCCACCTGTGTGCCCTGTCAGGTGCTGACAAGGCTGCCTACCTGATGGGGGTCAGCAGTGGAGACCTCCTCAAAGGCCTTCTGCACCCCCGAGTGCGTGTGGGGAACGAGTACGTGACCAAGGGCCAGAGTGTGGAGCAGGTGAGCTGCTCGCAGACCAGGGTGCACCTGGGGACAGCCAGGGCAGGGTGCTCTCCTTGCCAGGTCCCAGCCCAGCCTCCCCACCTCTCCAGGTGGTGTTTGCCGTGGGGGCTCTGGCGAAGGCCACTTATGACCGGCTCTTCCGGTGGCTTGTGTCTCGGATCAACCAGACACTGGACACAAAGCTGCCCCGTCAGTTCTTCATCGGGGTCCTGGACATCGCTGGTTTTGAAATCTTCGAGGTGAGAGCAGGCCCACACCCCCAGGCTCTGTTCTTTCCCGGGTGGAGGACCACGGATGGGTGGGGGCAGGAGCAAACTCTTGCACGGGCCTCCCTTTCCTCATTCACAAGGAGGCCTGCTGAGCCCAGCGCCTCCCCCTGCAGTTCAACAGCTTCGAGCAGCTGTGCATCAACTTCACCAACGAGAAGCTGCAACAGTTCTTCAACCAGCACATGTTCGTGCTGGAGCAGGAGGAGTACAAGCGGGAGGGCATCGACTGGGTCTTCATCGACTTCGGCCTGGACCTGCAGCCCTGCATCGACCTCATCGAGAAGGTGGGGCCCGGGGCAAGGTCACTGCAAGGAAGGGAGGGTGGGTGCAGTGAGGGAGCAGGAGTGAATGTGCTTGTATGCGAGCGAGTGTGTGGAAGCATGCACGTAGGTGTGTGATTGTGAATGTGAGTGTGGCTGTGACCGCGTCTGTCTGCACGTGTATGAATGGGAATGTGTGCATGTACGTGAATGTGCGTTGGTGAGTATCTGTGAGCAGTGTGTGTGTGTGTGTGTGTCCCAGCACTGTTGACAATGGCCCCTCATGGGTGCGTGTGATTTTGCAGTTCACAAGGCCTTACTGCAGCCACAGTTTCATTGGACCCTGAGAACTGCTCTGGGAGTGGTCAGGGAAGGGCATGTTTGCTTATTTGTGTATTTGATTATGAAACATTACATATATTGCTCCATTGTACAAAGACTGGAAGAAAGAAATATCAAAGAAAATTTGAAGAATCAGAAGTAAAGGGGAAAAAAATGTTTCCCTCAATTCTACCACAAGCTGTATTTTGGCACTTTGGTTAGTTTCCTCCAAATCCTTTATCTTGGGCATCCATTTTCTCTTCTAAGACACAGACTCCTTCCTCATCTTTCTCTCTGAAATGTATTTTAACATTGAACATTGTTGAGGAAGGCACAATGGATCAGCATATGCTTTTCATGCATTTCTGTAACCTCCTGTTATTGGACATTTAGGGGATCGACAGTTTTTTGCTTTGATAGCAGCACTGAAAGTCTTTATTTCCCCATTTTGCAGGTTAGGAAGTTGAGGCTTAGAGAGGTCTCAGGGCCCCACAACTAGTAAGTGAGGAAGCCAGAATTTGAACTCAGCTACTTTTGTTGACTGTACCACGTGTAAGTGTGTGTGTGAGACCATGGATGCCGGGGGGTGAGTGGGTACAGAGATGCCAGTGTGAGTTTGCACGCTTCTTATAAGCACAGAGGACAACTCGGAGCTGTGAATCGTGCAGAAGGGGGTTAGAAGCCAAGCCACAAACTTCTCTTTCTCTCTTAGAAGACAGGGCTCCTGGGCACAAGTCTGGTTTCCGTCCTTCCTGGCAAATGGCTGATGTTGGGGAGTCTGGGAAGGCTCCCAGAGGGAGGGGCTCTGGGAAATGAGGGTCCAGCCCAGCCAGGGTAGGTTGGCTTGATGGAGGCCCCTCAAGTTTGTTCCCTGTCCCCAGCCACTGGGCATCCTATCCATCCTGGAGGAGGAGTGCATGTTCCCCAAGGCCTCAGATGCCAGCTTCCGGGCCAAGCTCTATGATAACCACGCGGGGAAGTCACCCAATTTCCAGCAACCACGGCCTGACAAGAAGCGCAAATACCAGGCCCACTTTGAGGTGGTCCACTATGCGGGCGTGGTAGGTGCCTGTTGGAACCCCAGCTCTTGATCACTCTCTTCCCTCCTCTGGGTTCCCCCACCTTGGCTCAGCACGTCCTTGGTCTCTGGCAGGTGCCTTATAGCATTGTGGGCTGGTTGGAGAAAAACAAGGATCCACTGAATGAGACGGTGGTCCCCATCTTTCAAAAATCACAGAACAAGCTCTTGGCTACACTCTACGAGAACTATGCAGGCTCCTGCTCCAGTGAGTACTGAGGGACAAGATTCTATAGGGGACTCTCAGAGTGACGTCCCCTGGAGTGACTGGTCCCATGTCTCTCCTAGCCGAGCCCCCCAAGTCTGGGGTAAAAGAGAAGCGTAAGAAGGCAGCATCATTCCAGACGGTGTCCCAGCTGCACAAGGTGAGGCCCAGTCTGGGCCCCGAGCAGGCCCTCACCCCACCAACCTCCAACCCCATCCCTGGCTCCCTGTTCTGTCCCCTGCACCCTGGGCGGGCGGCTGTTAAGACTTGCAGTGATGTTTAACTCCTCTCCACGTGAACATCACAGCAAGTCTGTGCTGCTTCCCGTCCCCATGCTGCCTGGGCAGGGTTTGGCAGGGATGGAGTGGGAGCCACAGGGGCCTGTGGGAGGGATGGGGATTGGGTGAGGGGATGAAGACTTTGGTGACGGTGGCGGGGCCAAGTCAAGCAGAAGAGGGCAAAGTGTCACAAGGAACAGAGTGAAGGACAGACGTACCGAGGCTCACTTAGGCACCTAGCTCGCCCGTCCCCATCCCTAACGGGCTGATCCACTGCGGTTTCCAATTCTGCTTCTCTGCCTTCTTGTGCCTTCCCCCCTCTTCCCACCCCCAGGAGAACCTCAACAAGCTGATGACCAACCTGCGGGCCACACAGCCCCACTTCGTCCGTTGCATTGTCCCCAATGAGAACAAGACCCCAGGTAGTCACCTCAGGGCTGGGTTGGTAGGGTGGGGAGACAGTGGAGGGAGGGGACAGGGCAGACAAGAAGCTGGGTCTTCCTCCTCCACAGGGCCTGCACAGCCTCAAAGTAAGCCCTGCGTCTGGACTATTGGTCTTTCTCCAGGGCGTGAAGTGTGTCTGTTGACCTCTAACCTTTTCCTCTAACCCTCACCATGTCCAGGAGTCATGGATGCCTTCTTGGTGCTACACCAGCTGCGCTGCAATGGAGTTCTGGAGGGGATCCGGATCTGCCGCCAAGGATTCCCCAACAGGCTGCTCTATACCGACTTCAGGCAGCGGTGGGTGTCTCCCGCTCCTCCCCAGCTCCCTCCCCAGAGCCACCTTCTCCTCTGCCCTCCACCCAGGTGGAGGCAGCAGCCTGAGGAGGTGGGAAAGGCACACATTTTAGAGCCAAACAGACAGAAACCTCAATCACAGAGGGGGATGCAGGGGGACTGGTGGCAGAGGCGGGGTGGTGATGACTGACGGACCCTGGGCAGGCATCCCAGTGGGATGTGGTGGTGTCTGAGACCCGGGGATGGCCGGGAGGAGAAGTGAACAGGCTCGGGGTAAATATTGGACGTGCAGCCACAGGTCTTGCTGATGAATTGGATACAAAATAAGAAAGAAAAGACAAGGGTGACTCCCAGGTGTTTGGCCTGAGCAGCTGGGGAGTTGGTGGTAGATTTACTGAGAGACCAAGATAGGATTTTTTTATTTTGGGGGGGATGGGGGAAGAGTGGATTGAGTACTTTGAACATGTCAACTCTGAAATGTCCCTAGCAGATATCCTAGAAGGGAAGTCGAGGGGAAGACTGGACTTGTTAGTCTGGAGCTCAGGGGGCAGGCAGAGTTGGACACAGATGTGGGCGCTGAACGAGGGTTCACGTGGACTAGACTTTGTATAATGTCTGGCACCTAGTGGGCACCAGTCAGTGCTATTAGCTGCCTCACCCCCATTCCCTTTATAGGTTTGCTTTTGTCAGGCTACAGGCGTCCATAGTTCCCTCCCCTTCCAGAAGTAACTGGTCATCCACACTGACCGTTATACACGTCTGTGCAAATACTGTACACATGGGCGCACAGGTGCCCCCATTCTGTGAATTTGTTTTTTCGCATAAGAGAAAGAGATTGCTCCTTATCAACAGACATAAGTCTGCATCATCATCTTTTTTAAAATTTTTTTATCTTTTTAGAGCAGTTTTAGGTTCACAGCAAAATTAAGGGGAAGGTACAGAGATTTCCTGTATACCCACTACCCCCGCCACACACAAAGCCTCCCCCATTATCAACATCCCTCCTCAAAGTGGGACATTCATTACAGTCGATGAACCTACAGTGACACATCATAATCAGCAAAGTCCATAGTTTACATTACGGTTCGCTCTCGGTGATGTCCGTTCTGTGGTTTTGGGTAAATGTTTTCTGACGTGCAGCATCATCCACCTTGTTTTGGCAGTAAAATATCCCACGGTCTCGTAAATGTGCTGTGATAATCAGGCCCCTGGAGGGGTGACTTTTGTGTTTCTAGGGTTTTGCCTTCACTGTGTGGCCATGCCCACCTGACCCGCATGGCCCTGTACACATGTGCCACTGTGTCCGCTTTAGAAGTGAACATGCGGGAACCCTTGCTCTTGTTGATTAGAATTCTCTCCCAAATGTTTCTTCAGTTTGTGATATGCTATATACCATATCACCTTCTTTATATTTTTTGCCTTCTCAAAAAAAATTAAATTAAAAAATTACAAATTAAAAAATTATAAAAGTGCTGCATGCCTTTTGTAAATACTGCAGCTTCTTAAAGAACTTAACTACTGAATGCATGTAAATGCAACCCAAGGTTTTAAAGCAGAGTACACGCAACCCCCAGTGTTATGACATGCCTCTGCCAGCTTGCTCAGTGCACGCCCCTCTGGGGCCTCTGCTTCAGCCTCTGAGAGGCCCAGGAATATTTCCCTGCTACCTCTTCCAGCCTCCTCAGCCCTTGACACCCCGCCCAATGCCCTCCTCACCAGCCCTTCCCTGCTTTTGCAGGTACCGCATCCTGAACCCCAGCGCCATCCCGGATGACACCTTCATGGACAGCAGGAAGGCCACAGAGAAGCTGCTGGGCTCGCTGGACATCGACCACACTCAGTACCAGTTCGGACACACCAAGGTCAGGGCACCCGGGAGTTAGGGCTGACCTAGGTATGGGTGGTCACACTGGACAGGGGACATGTGGGTGGTTGGCAGTTACACCTCACTCCCCTGCCCAGGTGTTCTTCAAGGCTGGGCTTCTAGGCATCTTGGAGGAGCTTCGGGACCAGCGTTTGGCCAAGGTTTTGACGCTGCTGCAGGCGCGGAGCAGGGGCCGCCTCATGCGCCTTGAGTACCAGCACCTGCTTGGAGGCAGGTGGGTGTGGGAAGGGAGTAGGGGACAGGGTTAGGGGTGTAGCCACTGTCCCTCGGCTCTCAGTACCACTAGGCTCTCAGAACCCTGTCATACTGTTCTGTGGGTCAGAGCATCCCCTATGGCTGATTAGGGGTGTCTCTGAAGGGGGAAGGTTCTGTTTTGTGCCCCTCAACCCCCAGCTTCCATTTCTTCACCTCCAAAATTAGGGTAAGAGACTCTGTCTCTCCACTCCAGGCCACCCCAGAGTGTGGTCCAGAGTGGTAATAATGGCACCTAGTGTCTTCCAAGACTCCTAAGTGCTAGGCCCTGCGCAAGGTGCTTTATTTGCATTATCTTGGTTAAAGTACAGGCCAGTGCTAAGAGGCAGAGGCTGCGCTTATCTGTGTCAGAGAGACACACTCACGCTGGCTACGGGGGGGGCGGTGAGGGAGAGTTGCGGGGGGTGGGGGAGGCGGGGATGTGAGCCCAGGCAGTCTGACCCCAGGGCCCAGTGGCTTTACCACTCCTGGTATTGTCAGGACAATTGCAAGGGCCAACAGGACATTCATGAGTGCCCACCCTGGAGGCAGACCTGTGTAACCCTGGGCCTCTCCCTGGATCTCATCTATAAAGCAGAGGCATTAGGACCTACTTGAGAGGGCTGTTGGGAGGATCAAATGAGACAACACACTGAAGTGCTTAGTGCAATGCCTGGCCCGGGGTGGGTGCTCAGGGCACATCACGGCTCTTACTATGAAGGGGCAGCACTGAGCCTGCTGGTCACCTCTGGCTGCCCCTCCCCAGGGATGCCCTGTTCACCATCCAGTGGAACATCCGTGCCTTCAATGCTGTCAAGAATTGGTCATGGATGAAGCTCTTTTTCAAGATGAAGCCGCTGTTACGCTCAGCGCAGGCTGAAGAGGAGCTGGCGGCCCTGCGGGCTGAGCTGCGGGGGCTGCGAGGGGCGCTGGCTACTGCTGAGGCCAAGCGCCAGGAGCTGGAGGAGACGCACGTCACTGTCACCCAGGAGAAGAATGACCTGGCCTTGCAGCTGCAGGCAGTGAGTAGGGGAGGGGAAGGAGGGCAGGGTGTCCCTCAGTGACCTGGTGCCCCTGGCATCCCCAGAGAACCCCAGGCTGCTCTGAGGAAATACCCCAACCAGACCCCTGGCTAGGATGGAACTAGCATGCTCTGGGTGCCAATGCCTTGCCTGGATCTTTCTTTCTCTTCCAGAGGTGCCACAAGATGAGGTCTGTGAGCTCGTGTTCATGCTCAGCCTCTCATGGTCCCAACCTCCCCACCCACAGACTTAGTCTGTCTAGGTGTCCTAGTGCTGCCACCCCCTGTGCTGCCAGGGCTTCCCACCACAGCTGAAGTAGAGCCCCATCTCCCCAGCTCTCCCAGTCATGCCGTCCCTGAGACAGACCCAGGCTCCCTTATCTGATTAAGGGCCATGGGAACCCAGGTGGCAGGTAGCATAATAACCAGATGGCAGTGATCAAGGGCCCGGCATGTCCCCAAGTCCACAGAGCCATTCTTTCCTTCAGCAAATACCTTTACCTGTGTACCAGGCCCCCCTGGTAGCTCTGGAGATACATTGGTGGGAAGACAGAGACAGGCCTGTGGTCACAAAACTCACTCTCTAGGGCAGGAGACAGTTATGCAGCCAGGTGGTGAAGTGGGAGAGAACACCAGAGCCCTCCATGGCCGCGCAGGACCCCCCAGAAGAACTCAGCCCAGTGTGGGCATTGCTGGCAGCTGGTTTTGCTCCTAGAGCCCTTGTTGGGGCATCAGTCTGGGTTGCCTCCAGCCTGTCTAATGTTCCCCTCTTGCCGCCCCATCCATCCCTCTACCTGAGCCCTTATCCCACCACAGCTGAGCCCATTCAAGGCCAAAAGTGGGTCACAGGCATTCCTTGGTCCCAGAGCCCAGCGGAGCATGGGTGTCAAACCTTTGCATGGACGAATGAATGTTCCTCTCCAGGGCCTGGCCTGGTATCCCTCAGCTGGTTTACCTGGACCTGCCTTAACTTTGCCTCATTCCCTGTGTCCTCCTCCAGGAACAGGACAACTTGGCGGATGCTGAGGAGCGCTGCCACTTGCTCATTAAGTCCAAGGTGCAGCTGGAGGCGAAGGTGAAGGAGCTGAGCGAGCGGCTGGAGGACGAGGAGGAGGTGAATGCTGACCTGGCTGCCCGCCGGCGCAAGCTGGAAGACGAGTGCACGGAGCTCAAGAAGGACATTGATGACCTGGAACT